TAAAAAACAAACAAGAGGCATAAAACCTGTTGGTTTGGGGTGTGCTTTGCCACACAGGCCTTCTGTGATTCCATGGCAGCTGTGGGTCCTGTCTCCTCCTGTCTGGTCCCGGGGGCAGGAAGAAGAGCGGGTCTTGGGGGGAGAGCCGCGTGTGTGTGTGTGAGCAGCTATCCAGGGACAGCCACTGGCACTGAGTCACGCTTCACAGCTTGTGTGACGCTGCCCTCGTCCCTCCCACTCTAGGAGATGGTTGGGGCAGCTGGTATCTCCCCATTTCCCAGAAGAGAAAATTGAAACCCACAGAAACCAAGTGCCTGATGGTTGGGGAGCTGAGATTGGAACCCACAGGGCCTTCTACTGGCATGGAGTCTGCTCCTCCATGCTCTCCTGCCCGGTTGGGCCAGGGTAGTAATGGCCAGGCGGTGCCCTGAGGGTGTGGAATCACTGAAACCCATCCTGTGCTGCTTGCTGTTCTTCAGGGAATGTGCCTGGTTATTTATTCAGAGACCCTTGGAACAAGGTTTGGGGCTAGAGTTTGGGAATATCATTTCCCCTCCCCTCAAGAATCCCAATGTTTGACCAGTGTGCCATCCAGCTTGTGATGGAAGAGACTGTAGAATCCATCTTCATCAGCTGACTCATGATTTCACACAAGTTCAAGTGCAGCACGGGAGACTAGTGGCTTTGGTGTCAGTGGTGGGTGTTTAGGTGAGAGAGAAGGAAGTTTCCCTCCTGGGGTGAAGAAATGGATTTTGTCCCTTTGAAGATTCTGGTCAATGGGAGTGGAGCCCCTGCATGCACTGCCAGGAACATCCTTCTGCCCAAGGCCAGAGGGACATCTGGGAACTGCAGATCCATCTGCTGACTTTCTAAACCAAAGGCCTTGATCACCATCTCCAGTTCTCCATCTCACTTCAGGGTGCACAGTGATGTGCAAACTCTGAGGCACGGCGGCAGTTAAATGCAGAGCTGAAGTTGTCCTCTGCCTCGGCCCTCTTGCCAAAGACTCGCTCAGGAAGCAGGGCACTGTGGAGGGGTGGCAGGAAGGAAGGCAGAAGGCCAGGGTGGGAGGACATGAACACCAGGGTAGGGGAGGAGACCTGGCCGCTGCAGACTGCACAGGCCCTGGGTCACCTGGGCCACACCTTCAGAGAGCTAACGGGGGTGGGGTGGGAAGGGGTGTCAGTGTCCTCTCCAGGCAGGTGGCTGTCCTCTGTGTTTACCACTCCAGGAACTGGTTGCCAGGTCCTTGATGAAATAGGCTGGACTGTTGTTGGACAGGAAGGTTCTTCCTCATGTTGAACTGAGGTCCGCCTCCCTAGTGCCTCTCCTTGCTGCTCCCGGTTCTGCTGTTGGAAGCCATAGGTCTGCCTGAGTTGCTTGGAGCCCCTAGTGAGTCAGGAGGCAGCCCTAGCCCAGTGCTGCCTGCCTAGCCCTGGGCTTCAGCAGGAAAAGGGAGGAGGGTGTGGGGCAGGGTGGGCCCCAGAGGGCGAGAAGTAGCAAGGAGTGTACTCGGTGAGCATGAGGGGCATGTCTTTTGGTATTACAGGATCACAGGGTGTGAAGGTGAAGGCTTGTCCTCAGGAGTTTACCCCTTGTCACTGGGGGTAAAGTCTGTCTCCCTGTCATCCTCTCTGAAGGTGCTGTTCCTTTCCTCTGTGACCTTGTCACCATTTGTAATTATAGGTGTGCCATTGTTGAATTGTGTAATCCCGCCCCCCACCCCCATCTGCACATTTTATATCCATGAGCTCAGGAACAATGTCTGCTCAGTTCCCACTGTACATGTCAGGTGGCATGATGCCTGAAACAGGAAGTGCTCCATAAATATTTGTTGAATGAATGAATGAATGGATGAATGAACACTTGGCTAAACTGTGGCTTGTAGAAAGGACTTGTATGCGGCACTAAGGACTTTAGACTTGATTCTTTGAGCAGTGGCACTGGAGAAGGGCCCAGAGCCCCATCTGGAGCTGAGTGCAGATCAGACTGTGTGGGGGGGGGCGCTGTCTTTGCCAGCTCGGGCTGCTGTAACAAAAATACCACAGACTGGGGGGCTTAAACATCACATGTTTATTTCTCACAGTTCTGGAGGCTGGGAAATCCAAGATCAAGGCACCAGCAGATTTGGTGCCTGGTTCATAGAAGCTGTTTTCTCGCTGGGTTCTCACATGACGGAAGGGGTAGGGGAACTCTTTGGATACCTTTTATATGTCACTAATCCCAGTCGTGAGAGCTCCACCCTCATGACCTAATCATCTTCCGAAAGCCCCTCCTAGTACCATCACACTGGGGGTTAGGTTTCAACACATGAATTTTGGGAGGACAGAAACATTCAGTCTGGGGCGGGGGCACACTGCACACTGGGGTGGGAAGGAGGTGAAACACCTTGTCACAGTGCAGACTGAGAGCCGTGAGACTCAGCCAGTGGGTGGCCCTGGGATGGGAAGGTGAGGAAGGAGACCCACTCATCTGTACGGTAAATCCTGTCCAGGTGAGGAAACTGAAGGTTAGAAGAGTGAGGTGACTTTGTGAAGGAGCCATTCAAATTTGAATCCTTCTCACTCAAGAGCCTCCTTTTCCTTGTTTCCAAACTGCCTAAGTGTGGGATCCAGCAGGACGCCAAGTCTGCACTGAAACTGGAGCTTAGGATAGTGTATCAACTGTGGCTTTGGAAAGTGGAATGCAGACAGCAGCCTCTTTGCTGGTTCTGCAGGCTTTTCCTCCCTAGTCTCTGTGGAGGGCTCCCCGACCTGGCATCGCTGCACTCTCAGGCAATGGCTGGTGGCTGCTCGGTGTTGATTACAGTTTGAAACGCTGTACTTCAGTCCCGTGCTGCTGCACACCACAGAAATTCCGTTTCACTCTAATGAGGTTTCAGTTAGAATGTTGGAAAGAAGAAAGCCTTTTAATTAGATTGGTAATAATTGAGCTCCCAAACCACAGTAGCCTTTCTCTCGGAAGATGAAGACACAGATTCAGTTAAAAGAAGAAAAGCCATCTAAATGGAACACTGGCTAATTTTAAGTCCATTAAAAGCAACAACTTCTTAATAAGTTGAAGCAGCAGATATATGTCCTAAAAGAGTTTATCAGTGCTTTCAAATAGTATTGGAGATTGAACTTGAACTAGAGTACTCATGCAATTCAAATGTATGGCTCTGTTGGGACCGTTTGCTCAGTACACAGTATGGAGAAGTGTTAACTCCACAACTTTTTTTTTTTTTTTGTGAGGAAGATCAGCCCTGAGCTAACATCCATGCCAACCCTCCTCTTTTTGCTGAGGAAGACCGGCTCTGAGCTAACATCTATTGCCGATCCTCCTCCGTTTTTTCCCCAAAGCCCCAGTAGATAGTTGTATGTCATAGTTGCATATCCTTCTAGTTGCTGTATGTGAGATGCCGCCTCAGCATTGCTGGACAAGCGGTGCATCGGTGCGCACCCGGGATCCGAACCCAGGCTGCCAGCAGCGGAATGTGTGCACTTAACTGCTGCGCCATGGGGGCCGGCCCCTCTCCACAACTTTTTCCACCAAAACCCTGGCATGTTTTATTTTGCAAAATGGGGGATGTATTTTTCCTGTAACCAAATTGGCAGCTTCTTCTGGACACAGCCCCCAGCCTTGGACCCTTGGGACTTCGTCCTCTGTCCCCCCACAGTCAGCTCTATCTTCTCTGTGGGATTCACAGTCCCCCTCCCCCACAATTTCACCTCTTTAAGGTGCCCAGGATGTGAGCAGCTGGGGCAGGGTCATTGATGCATCAAAGAATCTCTGCCAACTCCTTACATGTTCAACACATTTTTAGTTTAATGAGAAGTAGCATCCATTTCTCATTTGCATCCCTGCCCTCTGTCCACGCCCCAGCAGATGTCATGTTATTCCTGCCATTGTGTCTGTTTTTGTGAATGCCATCAGTGAACTAGGCCAGGTAGTTCCTCTTGCAGGAGCTTACGGTCTCAGCTTCTGGGCATGTGTGCATGGGAACATTAATAAATACTTTCTTCTGGAGAGGGTGGCAACTGCTAATTTACAGAATCCTTTAGGTTGAAATTGGGTGCCAAGTACTGAATAACAGTGTTCTCAGTATAACTCTTGCAGGAAATGTGCTCATTTTTCTCCATGTGCACTAGCTTTTGCTAGGCCATGTTGGGTTTCGCCAGCTATGATAAAAAGCTGGTTGCATCCCAGTTAGAAAAGCTGATGTTGACTAGAATCTTCTTTAGGTGCCTTGTGCCGGGGCAAAGCCACAGTTGATGCGCTATCCCAAGCTCGTTTTTAAGTGCAGACTTGGCGCCCTGCTGGATCCCACACTTAGGCAGTTTGGAAATGTGGAAAAAGGGGCTCTTGAGTGAGAAGGATCCAAGTTTGAATGGCTCCTTCATAAAGTCACCTCACGCTTCTGACCTTCAGTTTCCTCACCTGGACAGGATTTACCTTACAGGTGAGTATCAAGAACCTGGCATGCTGCCTGGTATGTAGAGGATGAGAGAAAAGGCAGGCAGACCCTCAGGGACCGGGGAGAACATGGCCACACAGCATCGTCAGCACATGGCTGACCCTTTCCCAGGGAGGGAAGCATAAAATACTTCTAGTTGTTTAAAACGCTATATGTTCTGGTAATAAATTTGACTTAAAAAATTGGAATTTGCATCCAATTTTATATATTTTCTTAAGTTATAAAAAATGTACTAATAAGAAAAATAAGCTGAAACATTGGCAGGTGTCATCTCTGGAGGTTAGCTTTCAGAGTTTTAATTTCCCTTTTTATGCTTTTCCGTCTTTTGTAAGTGCTCTGTAATAAATGTGAATAAATAGAAAAGCTTCACTCTGGGGAAATGCTGCTTGAGTGCATTTGGAAGTGCTTGGTGCATCTGATTCCACACGCTCCGGCAGTCCCAGCACTCAGATTCCTGCAGGAATAATTGTATCATTCCTTCTTTTGTAAACCGTGTAAACCATAGTTATGTTTTTTTTTGTTTTTGTTTTTTTTTCCTTTAAAGGATGAGAAGAACCAAGTTTTAACCACCAACATTTGGCTGCAAATGGTAAGTTGAGACAGTGGCGGTCCTCGCCCACGGCTCTTCTTGCTCTTGCTTCCGAGTTGCTTGTGTTGGAATCGCAGAGAAAGCACAGGTCCCTTGAGAAAAGCCGCGACTGTCGACCCTGACTCCACATAGGCCAACAGTGAAGTAGAACATCCTGCCTTTGGATGTGTCGCTCTGCATTCTGCACGACCCAGCGCATGCTTGTATTTCACTACAGGGTGATTTGGGGAAATTTCAGAAGCACTTCTCGCAAGACAAGTTTTAAGATGCAGATCCTGGGCTGGCCCGTGGCTTAGCGGTTAAGTGAGCGCGCTCCGCTGCTGGCGGCCTGGGTTCGGATCCCAGGCGCGCACCGATGCACCGCTTCTCCGGCTGTGCTGAGGCCGAGTCCCACATACAGCAACTAGAAGGACGTGCAGCTATGACATACAACTATCTACTGGGGCTTTGGGGGAAAAAAAAAAAAAAAAAAAAAAAAAAAAAAAAAAAAAAAAGATGCAGATCTGGGGCTGGCCCCGTGGCTTAGCGGTTAAGTGCGCCCGCTCCGCTGCTGGTGGCCCGGGTTCGGATCCCGGGCGCGCACCGACGCACCGCTTTTCCAGCCATGCTGAGGCCGCATCCCACGTACAGCAACTAGAAGGATGTGCAACTTATGACGTACAATTACCTACTGGGGCTTTGGGAGAAAATAAATAAATAAATAAAAATTATAAAAAAAAAAAAAAAAAGATGCGGATCTGCATTTAGATGTCCACAGCCTGCACCGTAGCCGGTCCCCAGGGCTCAGGAGTGCCTGCCTTGCTCTCCACACCCTCCAGAGGTGCATATTTGCATCCACAGAGCGTTGCCTAAGCCAGAGAGGTCTTCACTCTTCCTGTTCTGGTGACCTCTGTGAGAATTTTGAAATGTTGTGTTCTTCCGTTCATGGAATTTTAGCTTGATATCCTAAAATTCTAATCTACATTTAGTTAACTGCAAATGATGTCGCTTCCCTCAAGTTGTGAATATTGACATTTAAAAATAAAACTCTTACTTTCTATTTTAAGTGGGATCTAATACCACATGATTTGATGCCCATATCATTCATTTAAAAAATATACGAACTAGCCCTTCTTTACCTGCCGGATATTTTACATAGTCCCTTTCTCTCTTTGTGCTTGCACTTCTATTCCACTTTCCACACAGAATTTTATCCTAATATGATATAATTTTATGTTTGAAAGTCTTTTATTAATCATTCTGTCTTGGTTCTCTCAAATGTAAATATTTACATAAAAATTATTCCTCCAGAAAATAAGAGTTAAATTTTTTTCCTCTGGATTGATTTAGGATTACCATGATTATTCGTCTATAATTCATCAAGGTGACACTAATTATAAATTTTAATACATAATTATTAAACATAAAAAGTTGGAAATTAATCTCTCTACCAAAGATGGGGTTTTGTTTTAAATTCATTTATGTATTCATAGATGACTTGTTTATTACTAGAATCGAGATGTTGATACAGATTTCACCATGAATTCTATAACTTTTAAAAGTAGATGTAGTAACAGGTGTAGCTCATAATGAAAGGCATTTTGTCACAGCAGTGCAATTCAATTCCTTGAACTTCCTCCAGATTGCATGCCAAAAATAATATAGTTTTCTTCAAAGTATCAGATGACAACTTGATTAGTTTCTCCTTCAATTTTTCTGAAAGCAAAGAATTAAAAGAATTAAAGCCCACCTGATCTTTGAAAGTATTTGTCACCCAATTTTTAACACAATTCATATAGACACTGGTATTTTGAGTTGACTCTTTATTTGCTTCTTGGGTCAATGTCTCAAGATAAAAGTTGAGATAAAGGAAATGTTTTTTCTTTGTAAATTGGGATTGGGAGAAGTGAACACGGAGGCAAAGGATACTCCCAGATGGTTCTTAGGCAGGTGAGTTTTAGTGGGAATACAAGGGGAAGTTGAGGAAGAGAAAGCAGACTCACTTATAGCCATCTGCTGCATGTCCCAGGGGTGCGCTTAGCTATGTGTGAGACCCCTTGTAGAACCTACCCATAATGAACAAAATAGAAAGCTTTCAGAGTTTTCCCCACAGGATTTAAAGCAACACTCTTCAGTGAGCGAGTCCCACCCTCACACGTGCCCACCTACCCTAGCTCCCTTCCTTTTGCCGTGGGTGCAGAATCTGTGCTCCCATCGAAGGCCAGCCCTTCCTCCAGTGGACGAGATCCCACCTCCTGGGACCTGCAGAGAGCTTGCTTCCACAGTGGTCCCTATGCCTCTGGCGTCCTCGTAGTGCCCGTGGTCAATCTCATTAGCATGCAGACATGCTTCAGTACATCCCCATCAACCTCCCCAGCAACTCCCTGGTTTCCTCCTCACCTTTACAGCAGGATTCCTCCAGGCAGTGTCTCCCCACTGTCCTCATCCTCTCCTCTTCATTTTCAGCTAGATTCACCCCTGTCTGGCTTTGGGCAAGCAAACCACTAATCCCAGGTTGTTAAGTGCTATCAGTAATGTTTTTTCCCAATTTTTTTGATGAAAAATGTTAAAGATACTGCAAAATAGGGGGACGGCGGGGTGATGCAAGTGGTTAAGTGCGTGCGTTCTGCTGCGGCGGCCCAGGTTTCGCCGGTTTGGATCCCGGGCGTGCACCGCTTGTCAAGCCATGCTGTGGCAGCATCCCATATAAAGTACAGGAAGATGGGCATGGATGTTAGCCCAGGGCCAGTCTTCCTTAGCAAAAAAAAGAAAAAAAAAAGGAGGATTGGCAGATGTTAGCTCAGGGCCGATCTTCCTCACAAAAAAAAAAAAAGATACTGCAAAGTTGAATTTACAGTAAACATCCATCTATCCACCTCCTAGATTCTGTGATTAGCATTTTACTCTACTTGCTTTATCCTATATCTGGCCATCTATCCATCTGTCTATTGATCTAGCTTATTTTTTAATGCAGTTCAAAGTAGAAGAGTGGACATCAGTGCATCTCCACCTCCATATTTCATGGAGATCTTTGAGTGCATATAATTTTTTTCCTTCCTCTCAAGGTAAAATTCACATACAATGCAATGCACAGATCTTACTAAGTGTACCAGTCAGTGAATTGCCAGGAACGACCTGCCTCAGGAAGCAGAACTGCCCCATCTCCCCGGTGATGCCTAGTGTCCCTTACCTGCCAATTCCCACCCTACCCTAACCCCTCCCCGATGGGTAGGAATACCATTGTTCTGGTTTTTCCAGGGATTAATTTTTCCCCTTTATCTTGACCTCTCAGGGGCGTTTGATGGAGCTGATTCTTCCTTGAAATGCTTCTTCACTCAGTGTCTGGATACCTCTCTGTTAGGCTTTCCTCCTAACTCACTGGTGGTTCCTGAATCCCTTCTGCTGTCTCTTCATCTCCTTCCAGCCATTCATCATTCCAGGACCATTCTCCTGGCTTAAAGCACCTTTGATGAGCTAAGAGCACCAACCCGACTGCCTCCCTGGTGACTCCAAGCAGGTGCCCAATAGGCTCTTAAACCCAGTATGTTCCAAACCATCCCCTGTGCTCCCTTTTATAGTTACCTCTTCCACAGCCTTCTCTATCTGGATAATTAGTGACTCCATGTATTGATTTGCTCACACCAAAAGCCTCAGAGTCACCCATAACTCTTGTCTTTCACACACACATCTGGTCTGGCAGCAAATTCTGGCAGCTTGACCTTCCAAATAGATCCAGGGTCTAACCGTTGGGCATCAACCCCATTGCTTCCACCCTGGCCTAAGCCAGCATCCTCTCTCACCTCCATTATTACAGAGCTTCCTAGCCAGGCTTCCTGTGTCAGCCCTTACCTCCCCTGGTGGTGCCTCTTCACAACATAGCAGTCAGCGTGATCCTAGTAAGAGAAGATGAAGGTTCAGCCTTGAGCCTCCCTGGCTCAGTTCCCTCCTGGGGCTCCTGTCGCATTCAGCGGCATATCAGCTGAAGTCCTTGAAGTGGGTTTGGCTCCCTGCCTGGCCCCCAATTCCTCTCCATCACTGCCCTCCTTCATTTCCTGCACACATCACCCACGCACACACCTACCTCAGGGCCTTTGTGCTTGCTCCACCTGTCTGCAAAGTTCTTTCTTCAAGAACCACTTGATTTTCTCCCTCACTTCTTAACAGTCTCTTCCTAGAGATTACCTTTTTAGTGAGTTCTTCCCTGAGTTCCCATGTACTGTCCCAAACCCTCTCCTCTTCCCCCAGCCCACTCTATTCTCTTTACCTTGTGTCTCAGCCAGCTCGGACTGCTGTAACAAAATACCATCAACTGGGAGGCTTGTCAACAACAGACATTTATTCCTCACAGTATGGGTGCTAGAAATCCAAGGTCGTGGTTGCCAGCAAGGTTGGATTCTGTTGAGGGCCCTCTTCCAAGTTGCAGACAGGCATCTTTTTGTTGTGTCCTCACATGATAGAAAGAGAGTGAGCTAGCTCTCTGGGCTCTTTTTAAAAGGGCTCTAATCCCCTTCATGAGGGCTACACCCTCCCAAAAGCCCCACCTCCACTAACCATCACATTGGGGTTAGGGTTTCAACATAGGAATTTTGGGGGGACACAAACATGTCATCCATAACACCCTGCTACATTTTGTTTCCAAAGCACTTGTCACCATGTGACATCCTTTGTATCCTGTATTTGTTGATGGGCTTGGGGTCTCCCTCCCCCACTAGAATGTGTGCACCAGGAGGGCAGGGCTGTTTGGATCTTACCCCTAGCTCCTAGCCCACTGCAGGCGCTGGATAACTTCTGTGGAATGAATGAATGAAACAAAAAACTCAAGGTGAACCCAGTGGGGGCTAAGATATTGTGATACAAAATAAAGCCAACTCCCAAATAACTTTTGAACACTGTGGTATAAGGTAAATTTCTGGGAATTCGAGGGATGATGCAAGTGCCTCCTTTTTCACATAAAACCTTTTGTTTCCCTTGCCCTTTAAGGTACAGAGCAGCTGTTGACATTTTTCTTAGAGAGAGAGACA